ATACCTACTATGCAATAATACCTACTATGCAATAATACCTACTATGCAATAATACCTACTATGCAATAGTAGGTATGCTATTAGAAACAATACACAAAATAAGTCATCTACTAAAAAATGATTTTAAGACAAATCTGCATATGTCAGGGACTATTACTAGATCTGGATCAGTTTGACACAACATACACAGATAATCAAGTATTGGCTAGACCTTAAATGTGATATAAAATGTTCTGATCCAAACTCAGCAGAACGAATGGTATATGTGAACATTTTTAGCTAGCACACATAAGTTTTGCAGGAGGTACTCAGTCCTGTGCCAAGCTTCATTACAGGTAGTTCCCATGTAAATTTTGCATTACATTGTTATTTGTCGTTCAGGCGAACAGCCAACATTTAGAGCCGTCCTGCAATATTTCTATCAGGAGGTGACTCATGTAGGACATAGGTGCATCTTTGGCATAAGCTTATTTATTCAAGAAATGATTTCCTTAAACACACTGGAGGAAAAGAGGAGAGTGGCATCACTTTCCTTGCTTACAAATTCTTCTGCTTTTGTAAAATAAGTCTGACAGAAACTCATGGCTGCTCTTCAAGTTTTCTGATAAGAAAACACAATCCCCATTTCTGCACTTGGACAAATCTCCCGAGGCACATGATTAACACCTTGCTCAGATCCTGCCACGTTTACCACCTCCTACTGTTCTAGCTCTCACAGTATGCATGAATGTTTCATTGTTGCTGTTCAGCTCTTACTTATTGACTGTACTCAGGCCCATGACTGAGCACAGTCACAAACATTTGTCAGAATAACAGTGTTATGAAAACACCTACAAAGAAAATGGTCATACTTCCACCCTTTCCCCCTACCTCTCCCTCCCCATCTTCCTTTAACCATACAAACAGGGACAAAAAGTCTCCTGTTTTTCATTTTCTGCATGAATCAGTCCGAATGAGAGCACTACTGTGGGCAGTCTTGGACAAAGAAGCAAGGTTTGCATTCAGCTTTAAATGAAGGGAGATTAGGGAGGGTTGGTTTTTCTCCATAACATTTCTTCAGCATACTTGGGATGGTCATCAAGGCACAAATGCTTCAAGAACATATATTACGGTAACAGTCTGCTTTATTCCCATTCCTGTTCATTTTTAAAATGTATTTAGAGTCATTATCGTTCTCAAGAATGTCACGTCACCAGAAATGCATCAGCAAGTCATGCACTGGCTAAATATAACACCTTACATCAGGTTCTGGAAGCAGCACAAAGTCAGGATATTGAGTATGAGGTATTCTTTGTCATGCAACATTCCTTTTCATTTTGCTGGGACTTTGGTCTGAGCAGACACCACAGGGCATAATGAGGGTTATAAAACTGGGGAGGCTCACCAAAGAGGCTGTTGGCCACAACAAAATCTGATTATGGGCTTTATCCCTGACACTTCTGATTTACCAGAGAAGAGGGAAAATTACAAGAGACAATATTCTGTTTTTCACACCTGAGTACAGATAAAGCTTGAGGCATTATAATGTACTTCGATGTGTGTGCCTATTTTACACTGATTTTATATGTGATTTTTCTTGCTACTGTGATATCATTTACCATCATAGCACCTCTTGCTTCAGCTCTTCCCATTCTGCCAGTACCACACAGGGGAGGCTTTTGAGTTGCAGCCTTCATTTTACTCACTGAGCTTACTAAAGTGGTGTTATCCATGGTCTCAAAAGAAATTAAAAAAAAAAAAAAAAAAAAAAAAGAATCAAAATCAAACAAGCACATAAAAAAAAAATAAACAAAAAACAACCAACCCAGTCTGGTTTGCAACAGAATAATTCAAAGAATATAAGTGGCAAAAATAGGTATGCTGACACTGAACATACTGAACATAAATATTGTCATTTTAATTTTCTGTACTCATTTATGTTTACTATTTTCCTTTTTTTTTTTTTCTTGTTATGTGGAGAGGACATCCCTGATTAGAGTGAAATAAATTTTTCTTAGTGATTAGTCTTCATTCATTGAAGATTAAGCACACATAGAAAAGTAAGCCCAGTTATGTATCAACTCCTAGGTAGCTAAAAATACATCCTAACTTGTTTTGATTATTCTATGCATTTGCTTAAAATGAAAAGCTCATGGGAAGATCATACATTCACAGAGCTGCCTGAGAGAATTTATAGCTTGTCAGCTGCATAAAGATATCATCTTCCAAAGTATTTTTGGGTGACACGGTAACAACTTTCAATAAGATGTTAAACAGAAATCTTGTGCTAGCTTTGCCTATATTCAGTTGTGATACTGCTTAGAACTTTATTTCTCTTGAAATGAAAGAAAATAAGTGCCATATTTGAACACAGTGAAATACACATCCTTTGTAATAATTCTGGAACAAATCCTACCCTGCTAGCCCTGTGGGGATAAAGAGAAGCATTGCACAGTGCATCCATTGCCACATAGACTCTGCAAGCTAGGACTGAATTCCAAGAGGCACACCCCAGGGAAGCACTTCAAGACATTATAAAATATTGTATGCCTGCACAGCCTTACGTGCAGCATTAGGAAAGCCTACCATGTCACCATCTTGTTTTTTAAATAATACGCAGTTGAAAGTGTATCATGTCAAGCTGAGACTGTTGCAGGCCTCTCTCCACTGCAACCCATTCTTCCTCAAAAAAGGAAGTCTGAGGAGGGTGCTAATGGACAAAATCCCTCAGGAGATCATGAACTCCACAACAGGGGTATTCCTTGCTGCAGAGCTGTTGTTGCTGTTGGCCATCCTACATATCTAGGAATTTTGAATGTGTGCTAGGGAAAGCTACTGCCATAGCAATAGAACAATTCAACCCCCTGTATGACCCCAGAGCACTCTATTTGGGGACCAATTCTGAAGAAATGGACTGCAGTAGTTTCATCAAACATGTCTGTCTCTTTAAACCTAAAACGGTAGACAATTTCCACAACCAATACATTTCATCTGCGAGCTTCCAATAAACAACCCCTGTAACTAAGGTGGGAAGCCCTAGGAGGTGACCTGTCCTGGTAACTAATCAAAGCAGCAGGAAAACTGAGTTTTAGAAAGGAATTGTTATTCATATGGAAAATCCAACTAATTAACCTTGTCAAAACTCTCATCAGTGACTGCAGAGTTTCTATAGCGCTGCATCCAAAGTAATTTTTTGTTTACTGAGAAGAAATATTTTACTGTACTCATGGATACAGGAAATAACTTGATTTCAACTACTACATCTGCTACCTCTCCTCATTTCCAATTCAATTTTGACTATTTTGTATCCTTTTGCAATGTCTGCTCCATCAGGCTCAACTTTGATAATTGTGCACTGTGTTTTTCAGGATGGCAGATCTTGCTTTTTTTTCTTAGCTAGGAAGACTATTAAGAAA